CTCATGTATCTACTTGAGCTAAGAAGCACACTCTTCAAGAATATCATTTTATGTCCCATAGTCCAGTCTTGTCTTTGTCTGTCGAGTTGGCCTCAGGAATGGTTTTAGTTTTGGGCTAATAGAGAGTCTGGGGGCCATGTCTTCCAGGGTCCCTCTAGTCTCAAACCATTAAGTCTGGTCTTTTAACTAGAATTTGAGTTCTGTGCCCCACTTTTCTCCTGCTCTGTCAGGGACTCTCTGTTGTGTTCCCTGTCACAGCAGTCACTGGTGGTAGCCAGGCACCACCTAGTTCTTCTGGTGTCAGGCTGATGGAGTCTCTGGTTTATGAGGCCCTTTCTGTCTCTTGGGCTAATACTTCCCTTGTGTCTTTGGTGTTCTTCATTCTCCTTTGCTCCGGGTGGGCTGGGACCAACTGATGCATCTTAGACAGCCGCCCACTAGCTTTTAAGACCCCAGATGCCACTCACCAAAGTGGGATGCAGAATATTTTCTTAACAAAGTTTGTAGCCAATTGACCTAGATGTCCCCTGAAATCGTGGTCCCCAGAACCCCGCCCTTGTTACTCTGTCCCTCGAAGTGTTTGGCTGTATTCAGGAAACTTATTAGCTTTTGGTTTAATCCAGTTGTGCTGACTTTCCCTGTAGTGTGTGCTGTCCTTCCCTTCATCTAAAATAATTCTTATCTACTATATAGTTAATGAATACCTCTCTCCCTCCCTCTCCACCCGTGTTAACTATCAAAGAATGTTTTATTCTGTGTTTAAACCTTTTCTTGAGTTCTTACAATAGTGGTCTTATACAATATTTGTCCTTTTGCAACTGACTAAATTCACTTAGCAGAATGCCTTCCAGACTCCTCCATGTTATGTTTCCCGGATTCATCCTTGTTCTTTATCGTTGCGTAGTATTCCATTGCATGAATGTACCATAATTTGTTTATCCATTCGTCTGTTGATGGGCACCTAGGTTGCTTCCATCTTTTTGTTATCATGAACGGTGCTGCAATGAACATGAATATACATATGTGGTGGCTCTTACTTCTTTAGGATATGTTCCAAGGAGTGGGATTGCTAGATCGTATGGTACTTCTATTTCTAGCTTTTTAAGGAAGCGCCAAGTCGATTTCCAAAGTGATTGTACCATTTTACATTCCCATCAACAGGGTGTAAATGTTCCAGACTCTCCACAACCTCTCCAACATTTACTATTTTGTGTTTTTTGGATTAATGCTAGCCTTCTTGGGGTTAGATGATATCTCATTGTAGTTTTGATCTGCACTTCTCTAATAGCTAACGATCGTGAGCATTTCGTTATGCGTCTGTTAGTTGCCTGAATGTCTTCTTTGGCAAATTGCCTGTTCATATTCTTTGCCCATTTTTTAATTGGGTTGTCTTTTTGTTGTTGAGGTTTTGCAGTATCTTGTAGATTTCAAAGATTCGACGCTGATCAGATTTGTTATAGCCAAAAATTTTTTCCCTATCTCTAGGTTGTCCTTTTACTCTTTTGGTGAAGTCTTTTGATGAGGATAAGTGTTTGATTTTTAGGAGCTCCCAGTTATCTAGTTTCTCTTCTGGTGTTTGTGCATTGTTAGTAATGTTTTATATTCTGTTTATGCCATGTATTAGGGATCCTAGCATTGTCCCTATTTTTTCTTCCATCTTTATCGTTTTTGATTTGATATTTAGGTCTTTGATCCATTTTGAGTTAGTTTTTGTGCATGGTGTGAGGTACGGGTCTTGTTTCCGTTTTTTGCAGATGGATATCCAGTTATGCCAGCACCATTTGTTAAAGAGACTGTCTTTTCCCCCAATTAACGGACTTCAGGCCATTGCAAATATCAGCTGCTCATAGGTAGATAAATTTCGTCAGGATTCTCAATTCTGTTCCATTGGTCTACGTTATCTGTTGTTGTACCAGTACCAGGGTGTTTTGACTACTGTGGCGGTATAATAGGTTCTAAAATCAGGTAGTGTGAGGCCTCCCACTTTGTTCTTCTTCTTGAGTAATGCTTACTTATCCAGGGCCTCTTCCCTTTCCATATGAAGCTGGTAATTTGTTTCTCCATCTCATTAAAAAATACCGTTGGAATTTGGATCAGGATTGTATTGTATCTGTAGATTGCTTCGCGCAGAATTGATGTTTTCACAATGTTGAGTCTTCCTATCCGTGAGCAAGGTAAGCTTTTCCACTTATGCAGGTCTCTTTTGGTTTCCTGCAGTAGTCTCTTGTAGTTTTCATTGTATAGGTCTTTTACATCTCTGGTTAGATTTATTCCTATGTATTTTATCTTCTTGGGGGCTATTGTAAATGGTGTTGATTTGGTGATTTCCTCTTCGAAGCTCTGTTTGTTGGTATAGAGGAATCCACCTGATTTTTGTATGTTTATCTTGTATCCTGATGCTCTGCTGAAATCCTCTATTAGTCCCAGTAGTTCTCTTGAGGATTCTTTGGGGTTTTGTGTCTATAAGACCATATCATCTGCAAATAGAGATACTCTGACTTCTTCCTTACCAATTTGGATGCCCTTTATTTCTTTTTCTAGCTTAACTGCTCTGGCTAGGAACTCCAGCACAATATTGAATAAGAATGGTGATAAAGGGCATCCTTGTCTGGTTCCCGTTCTGAAGTGGAATACTTTCAGATTCTCTCCATTTAGGATGATGTTCGCTGTTGGGTTTGTATAAATGCCCTTTATTATGCTGATGAATTTCCTGTCTATTCCTATTTTGTTGAGAGTTTTTATCATGAATGGGTGTTGGACTCTGTCAACTGCCTTTTCTGCGTCAATTGATAAGATCATGCAGTTCTTGTCTTTTGTTTTATTTACGTGATGGATTACATTGACTGTTTTTCTGGTGTTGATTGTTGTTATCCCGGTTGTTGTTGTTATCCCTGCATACCTGGTATAAATCCCACTTGATCATGGTGAATTATTTTTTTGATATGTTGTTGAATTGTATTGGGTAGAATTTTGTTGAGAATTTTTGCGTCAATGTTTATGAGGGATATTGGTCTGTAATTTTTTTTTTTTTTTAATGGTGTCTTTACCTGGTTTTGGTGCTAGGGTTATGCTGGCTTCATAGAATGAGTCTGGGAGTATTCCATCCTTTTCCATGCTCTGAAATACCTTTAGTAGTAGTGCTGTTAACTCTTCTTTGAAAAGTTTGGTAGAACTTTCCAGTGAAGCCATCTGGACCAGGGCTTTTCTTTGTTGAGAGTCTTTTAATTACCTTTTCAATCTCTTCGTTACATGTTTATTCAGTTGTTCCACATCTGTTTGTGTTAGTTTATGTAGGTAGTGAGTTTCTAGAAATTTGTCCATTTCCTCTAGGTTTTCCAATTTGTTAGAGTACAATTTTTCATGGTATTCTGTTATGATTCTTTTAATTTCACTTGGGTCTGTTGTGATATCACCCATCTCACTTCTCATATGCGTTATTTGCTTCCTCTCGTTTTTCTTTTGTCACTTTGGCCAGTGGTTTATCAATTTTGTTGATCTTTTCAAAGAACCAGCTTTTGGTCTTGTTAACTCTTTCAATTGTTTTTCTATTCTCTATTTCATTTAATTCTGCTCTAATTCTTATTTTTCCTTTCTTCTGGTGCCCGAGGGCTTCTTTTGCTGCTCTCTATTTGTTCAAGCTATAGCGTTAATGTTTTGAATTCAGCCCCTTCTTCTTTTTGGATGTGTGCATTTATTGCTATAAACTGATCTCTGAGCACTGCTTTTGCTGTGTCCCCAAGGTTCTGGGAGGATGTGTTTTCATTCTCATGTGATCCTATGAATTTCTTTATTCCATCATTAATTTCTTCTATAACCCTGTAGTTTTTGAGCAAAATGTTGTTCAGTTTCCATGTGTTTGATTTTTCTTCTTTCCTTTTTCCATTATTGATTTCTATGTTTATGGCTTTATGGTCAGAAAAGATGCTCTGTAATGTTTCGATGCTTTGGATTCTGTTAAGGCTTGCTTTCTGGCCTAATATGTGGCCTATTCTGGAGAATGTTCCACGTGCGTTGTCAAAGAAAGGATACTTGGCTGCTGTTGGGTGGAGTGCTCAGTATGTGTCCATGAGATCAAGGTGGTTGACTGTGGCATTTAGATCTTCCGTGTCTTTGTTGAGCCGCTTGCATAATTTAGCCTGAATACTTTTCAATTAAAAAGTCTGTTCCTACATTTTCAGAGCTGCTGGTATTAGACTTCTATATCTGGGTTAAAGTCACCTTATTGTCGTCAAATATCATTTTCGTCCACTGAACCCTGTCAGACCCAGAATTGCTCCATCTATGAAACCAACAGACTCAAATATTTCAACCTCTAGTCACCATTTCCTTCCTTTGTGGTCTCTTAGTATCTCTCACCTACAAGCTGGCAACAACACTAGTTTCCTACGTGGTACTCATTACACAGATCCAATCACTCATCGGATCCTGTATATTCTATTCCAATAATTCTGATACCCGTTACCTTACCAGTTAATTGCCTAAGTCAATGGATATTTTTGTGTCTTATGCCTTCTAAACACTTAAAATGTCTACCACACCCCTTCCAACTTGAAAGTCTCATTTTCACTCTGACACCTCTTTGTTGGTTCTTCTTTCAACTTTAACCATGACTGAGTTTATCTGCCATTGTTCCGTGTACCACTGCACCCAAACATATCTCTGTCATCTGATTCATCACATGGCATTATAATTTTTGGTTTATTTGTTTTGTTCTTCTGCCACTAGACTGTCAACTCCTTAAGGGTACAAATGACATCGTTCACCTCTATAATTCCAGTTGTGATGGTAAGCACCTAACATAACATTACCAACCTAATAATTCAGCAGGTACTTAATAATAAATAAAAATTACAGTTCAGACTCTGTAACCATACAATTATACTAAGATACTGTTAAAACTATGAGGTCGTCTGGGGGCTGCAAATAGACTCAGATTGCTTTTTTTGGTGAAATTTCATTTCATAAGGAAAAATTCAGAAACAACAAATTTCAAAACATACCTAGCCACTGTTGCTGAGATATTTCACACCAGTATTTTCTCACTGAAAGAATGTCTTTGAGCAGTATGTTGCTATAATCAGCTCCATAAATGGCACCATTAGATGAATCTTTCACTGTATCCATGATGTAATTCAAGAGTTCTTGGCATTTTAGCCTGGGTGCTCCTAATTAAAAATTAAACAAAACATAAGTCTTAATGCCAATAAACTTAGAACACTTGGAATGGCAATATTTAAATAACGTCACTTGGGAAATTACTATTAACTATTACCCTTATAGAGCAGTGGTTGTCAAACTATGACCCACAGGCAAAATTCAGCCAGCTGCCTATTCTTGTAAATAAAGTTTTACTGGAACACAGCCATGCCTATCAATTTATGTATTATCTACGGCTGCTTTTGTACAAACACAGCAAAGTTGAGTAGTTGCAACAGAAACTACAGAGCCTGCAAAGTCAAAAATATTTACTGTTCGGCCCCCTTTCAGAAGAAGTTTGTCAACCCCTGTAGGAATATATAACAAGGAAAATCATTTATTCTATCCTTAATAATTCAGTTTCTGGCATTAGACCTAAAATGATCCAGAGTCTTGACACTCTTTATGAAGAATGAATTAGTTAGAAAAATATAAGATTATGTGGATATTCATCTAAAAAGCAAAATTACTTCCAAGTCCTGTAACAGCATTTATCGCATACAAATATGTAAGGCTGTAACTTTAACATGGTTATTTATTACTTATTGGACATGCTGAGAAGTCAGCATTAATGGATATATATTCTTGAAGATAACAAAGCTACATTTTATAAATTCTTTAATTCTTATTTTCAGTAAATCATACTGATCTAACAGCTGAAAATTTTATTTTATTTCAATACTGACTTAACCTTTAAATTGCACATAACGTACTGTTATAAGCTACAAATAGGGTGCAATTCATTATGTACGTTTAAATATATTCTAGTTTGAGTATTTTCTTATGATGACATCAGACATTGTATTCTGATATGATGAAACTGAATATATCATACTCACAAGAATCAAACTACGGTAAATAAATATACTGATATAACTGCAAAATCATTTTCACTTATGGTTTATTACATAATTTTAGGCACCTGGCCAGTGATGCAACATTCTGTGCATCCCTTACCACATTTTCTTATGTATAACCTCCACTGTATTATTAGATCCTCAAGGAAAGGAATTAATTAATCTCTATATCTTCAATACATAGCCTAGTGACTACCCCAATAGTAGATGCTCAATAAATACTTCTTGAAGGACTACATAAATTAATATTAGGATGCAATCATATTTCCCCATGCCTTTATCCCAATATATATCTCCCTCTACCAACTGTCAGAAGTGTTTTCAAGACTTATGCTGACATTTTTTTCTAAAAAAAGTTGTCTCAAAAGGACATCTAAGTTGCCTGCACAGACTTTAAGATACCTCATGGAACTTAACATTTTTCACAGGTGGGTTTTTTATTCTCTAGGCTCTGTCTGTGCTTTGTCTGTGCAGATGCAGACAAACGCTGACAAGAGAATGAATAAGACTTGCTTACTTGTTCCTTCCCAGCTGCGTTTTACCTTTTTTCTAATCTCTGTTTCTTTCATCATACCTTGGATACCAGTGCTAAGCAAGTCTGGCAAAGTCTAGACATGTGTCTAGATTCCTATCAACCCCCTAACTCTGTGAAAAGACAACTGAAGAAGCGAGCGGAGGTGAGGCAGCAACCTCGCTTTGCCAGGGATGTTTGAATCACAAAACAAAACCTGAAAGGAAAGGAAGCTTTAAATAAAAATACCACTTTTCAAACATTTAATTTATCCTGCATTGATAATTTTACTCACTCTTTCTTTTAAACTGATATATTAATACATTTTCACATGTGATCTCTGCCGTTAATTTTACAATTGAAGTTTTTTTTCACTGTAAGGCAAAATTGTAAGCTGCAAACTTTTCTGCTGGGCTACAAATCAGCATGGCATGTTCAATCCCGCTCTCTCCCATTCGATAAGTACATACTAAGTTCCCAACGTTACTAGTGAAAAATACAAAATTTTACTGGATGCAAGGCTACCACGCAGGGAAAAAAAAACAGGTGCATAATATTCCCATGTAGTTCTTCTCTGTCTCTGCTGGTGTCCCTGACAAAGGTTTGCAGGTACCCAAAAAAACTGGCATCTCAGATGAGCTGCAAAGCTAATTTTTGGTAAACTACTCTTCTTTATACTCAAGTTTCATATCACCATTCTGAAATATTATTCACTAACAATCTACGTGCTTCTACTTAATAATGTTTAACAACACTAGGCTTTCCCGACTCTTGAACTAAACTTGGTATCACAAAGCCACATTTTTATCTGTGAAGAGTAAACAGTCTGTGCCCAGGAGGCCCTAAATAAATATTTTTGCTTCTAGCTTTTTAGCATTGTGTAAAGCCCACTTTTCTACATAAATCTACAAGGATTTTACATTTTGGTTAAAAAAAAAAAAAATCAACTCTTCAAATTATCGAGTGTACAAGTCCGAGATGGGAGCTACGTGGCTCATCAGGAGAAAAAAAGGACCTAGTATCTATTTTTTTTATCAATAGTAAGCAGTGTTAGTTAAAAGTGTGGGTTCTGACTGCCAAGAAAACTAATGTGATCTTAGAATGCATTAGAATAAAAGATATTGAATCCTGCTCCGTTTTATACCAATCAAAATATATCTAAAAAATTGATCCTCACATTTTAAGAGACATGATTAAACTGAAGAATATTCAATAAAGAATGACCCAACACTAGGCCATATGAGTCGAAGAAAGTAGGTCTGTTTAGTTTAGAGGACTCGGAAAATATCATGGCTATCTTCAAACACCTCAATGTCATAAAAAATGATTAACATTTTTCTGTAATATCTCAGAAGGCAGAAGCAGCAGCAAATGGAAAAAGGTTTTGAACTACACTTAAAGCTGTGCAGAAAGAGAAAAGAATGCCTCAAAAGGTATATTCAATCATCAAGGCTGTACGTTTACCTATGTGATAGGGACATATACAGGGGATTCAAGCATGAGTAGTTGAAACAGTAATTTTTAACTTTTTCAAAGTGAGATTCTATCATTCCTTCCTTACATAAACTCCCCGAAATATTTGAACCTATAGTGTTAGAAATTATTATATTTGCTAAAAATTAGAATTAGCAATTTTTGTCTCACCATATTCAGATCAAACTCAAGCAACAGTGACCCAATAAGCCATTTATCTATAATATATAATGCCACTTACTTTTATTTGCACATTTAATGAAGTATTTGACCAAGCTACTGATTTCTTGCATCTTTTTCTGCCTGGAAGATTGTGTTGAAGCCGATACATTTGGTTTTGCTGTTTTCAGACATTCTGTTTCTTTCTGAATATATTTCTGTAGAAATCTTTAAGAAAAAAACAAAATGGAATTTCAGAAACTAAATGCTTAAATTTAAATGCTTAAGTTATTATAATAACTTCAAAAAGTCCTGCATATATATCATCACAAAGAGCATCATTTCAACTACATTGCTACGATCAATATATCAGCTAAATGAAATAATTAAATCTTTCTTTCAGGACCTAACTCCCACTACACCAATTTAAAGTCTGATCTGCAAAGCTCTTGATCTATATAACCTCCATGATTTTCTGTTGCTTCATTGCCTGTGCTCTCGTTTTATCATTAAAAGTTTGCAATGCTATTAAAGAGCATTTAATCCTCCTTCTCCTCTTTCCTATTATTCTGTACATGACTTAACTCTTTCCCTAGGTAGTTGATAATGTTTCTAGCCTTTAAATAAAGCCTGCCTAGAAGACACTCAGGACTAAGCAGGAAGTGCCAGGTCCACATTTGACCTACTGGATCAGCTTATGCAGAACAGTACTCATTAAGTAAAAATTCTATTTGTAGTACCTGAAATAAACTAAGTAAGAGGGAAGGGAGCATGCATCTCCCATGTTACATGCATTCAAATCTATAACTGTCAATCTAGTACCAAACGGGCTAAAAAATAAAATGGATTATTCTAAACACTTGCAGACAATACTCATACTTCCTCTCAAGTGCAAATGTTTCAAGTTTAATAATCTCAGTAGTCTACATTAATTTAAAATATCTTATTCATCTTTTCTAAGTCTCATAATGTTTCTAAGTTATAAGTGGTCTTCATGGCTGGACATTATACTTCTTACATAAAATAGTACCAAAGCAGTTGGCCACTCCTGTACAGCAAGCAATTGTCTTCCCATTGCCTGAGTTTTGTTTTTTAAATGCATCCATATAGAAGTATTCTATTCTAGTCTTCTTCTGACTCGTTTTATTATTATTTAACACATGGCAGTTACTTAGAAGCAACATTTGAAGATAACAAAATAATGATTAAGCATTTATTATTAATAGGCTGTCTTTAAGCTGCATTTTTACGTAAGTCAGAACAGGTATATACGGTTCTTATCTAGCCTTACTTTAGTGCAAGAGGAGCTTGGTGGCACAGTGGTTAACAGCTCAGCTGTTAATCAAAAAGGTCAGCAGTTAGAATCCACCAGCTGCTCCTCAGAAACCCTATGGGGCAGTTCTACTCTGTCCTATAGGTTGCTGTGAGTTGGAATCGACTCAACGGCAACAGGTTTTTTTTTTTTTTTTTATTATTATTATAGCTTAATTTCATTTCCTAATTTGAAACAAAGTCTTATGAACTAATCAATATAGAAAGAATTCCCTCTCAATCTTGAGTGAGATATGACTAAGACATTTTAATGACCAGTGATTAAAAACTTTAACTTCTTCTACGTGACTCTCCTTTAAAAACTATATTATGAAGCACCAATTTCATATGCAAAGCAAATTGGTATATGAGGAACAAAGATGAATAAGACCTATACATACACAAAATAAATATTATCAGAACATAAATAAAAATGAAATACAAATAAAGAAAGCAAAACAATATTAGAATACCTAAAAACAGCATCCCAGTTCAAAAATTTTCCTGGCTTGGAATCTGAATGCCGATCTAAATGTTGAACTGTTTCAGGATCCCGAATAAGGCGCTTAAATTTCTCAACTTCTTTCTGAAAATGAAAAATGGGAACATGATAATAAGTTACCAATCATACATCTGTTTCAAGGAAAGATTACATTTAAGTAATATACTACCCTCCGTTCTGTAGCTCTATCATGTTCTAGATGACGGCAGCAAATAAGCAGATCATTAAGCGCTAGACTCATGGTTCAGAATTTCAGGTCACACATCGTTGTCTGTAAAATAAGTAAATAAAATTAATTTCGACCATGGTATCAATACATAATTAGGTTTAACTGTACAACCAGAGGTACAATGTGATCAAATGATTTTCCTTAAGAATTTGACATTTAAAATGAGATTCTTAGTATGGAGCAAAACAACGCTTCAACACAAATGCGTGCTTTGTTCCCACCAATAGGATAAAAATAAGTGTTGTTTATCACTGAGTACTCTTCTAGGAAACATCATATTTAACTTGAGACACAAAAGATGACTAGAAGACAGCTAAACAAAGAATAAGGAAAAGAGCACTTAAGAATTTAACAACAGCAGTCTGAACTATTTAAAAGTATCCTTGCTTATATGTAGTGACTTGCCATTTCACTGATGCAAAAGCTTAAATTGCTTATGCTTTGGAACTGATAAATAGGAAACTATCAGAGAAAATCCTCACAACTGGACCAATAAGCAACATCATGATAAACGGAGAAAAGACTGAAGTTGTCAAGGATTTCATTTTACTTGGATCCACAATCAACACCCATGGAAGCAGCAGTCAGGAAATCAAAAGATGCATTGTACTGGGCAAATTTGCTGCAAAAGACCTCTTTAAAATGTTGAAAAACAAAGATGTCACCTCAAAGACTAAGGTGTACCTGACACAAGCCATGGTATTTTTAATTGCATCACATGCATGCGAAAGCTGGACAATGAATAACGAAGACCGGAGAAGAATTGACACCTTTGAACTGTGGTGTTGGTGAAGAATACTGAATATACCATGGACTGCCAAAAGAATTAACAAATTTGTCTTGGAAGAAGTACAACCAGAATGCTCCTTAGAAGGAAGGACGGCGAGACTACGTCTTACGTGCTCTGGACATGTTGTCAGGAGAGAGCAGTCCCTGGAGAATGACATCATGCTTGGTAAAGTACAGGGTCAGCGAAAAAAAGACATACCCTCAACAAGATGGAATGACACAGTGGCTGCAACAATGGGCTCAAGCATAACGATTGTGAGCATGGCACAGGATGGGGCAGTGTTCCGTTCTGTGCTGCACAGGGTCGCTATGAGTCGGAACCGACTTGATGGCACCCAACAACAACAATCAGAGCTAATAAGTCTTGCCTGGCACTCAACACCTCAACTGGCTTCACAGTTCTCATTTAATACATAAAACTAGGAGGAAAATGATACTCCTGTTTTGAAATGAAATGAAGGAAATCATGTTATAGTGATATTCCTTACAAATATAAAGGTCAACTATGTTTTACTATGCCTTGATTCCACTGTAGTAGCTTTCCTCATTTTAGGATTTCTGATATAATCAAACCATTCCTGGATATCCTTTTAAAAAATTTTTTGTAAGCACAGCATTCGGTTATATTATTTCTGAGCCTTTTTACAAAGAAGCTTCATTTTTGTTAGTCTATTTATTATAATCACAAAAAAGTACATATGTATGTCTATTACATCTAAATGCACCTCAAGAAAAGAGGTAGGGAAACATCCTTCTATCCATCCATCTAAATTCTGTTCAATCTTTCAAGATCAAATGTTTCTCTACACCTAACTAACCTCACAATCTTAAAATTGGAAGGAACTGAGAGACTTACAAAGGAAAAGGAAAAGGAAGGGAGCCTTCCTGCAAAATTACTGTCTTCTCTTTCAATAAGTGCAAAGTACCTAACAAGACTACCCGTTTCACTGGCAGGTAGCTGTAATTCTTTTCTCCATTTGTATTAATTGATTGTTCTTCTGACCCTTAACACTATTAAAACATCCCCTTTACTGTTGTAGATTACAGGTTATTTACAAGATTTTCTTTTTCATTTGACTGTAAACTTAAGGACAAAGACTGTCATTTTCATTTTTCTATTTCTTATGATTTATCTGGGAATCATTCCCCTTCTATCTTAAAGACTTCTTAACTGAATCTATAAAGGAATTGGGATTTTAATTCATGAGAACACATTAGCAGTATTCAAAGATCCATGAGGGTACTTTTATTCCTAAATATACTAGAAATGTTATTTCTAATGTGAAGAAAATGCATGTTTACTGAATACGTGATAACTTCCAGGAAGAGGTCGCCTTAAACTGGACTTTTTTTCAAGCTGTGGCTTTTCTGAATCTGTTTTTCTCTCCTCAGTTTCTCAAAGATTAATTACTTTGACAAAAACAAGACAGTTTAGTATTAGCACTTACATAAACAGGCGATGTTCATTCACTGATCCATGCAAACAGTATTTGCCGGGCTCCTACTGTGTTCCAGGTACTATTTAGGGATAGCAAGACATATAATGGAGCCCTGGTGGCGCAGTGGTTACGAGCTTGGCTGCTAACCAAAAGGTTGGCAGTTCAAACCTACTAGCTGCTCCTTGGAAACCCTGTGGGGCAATTCTACTCTGTCGTATAGAGTCACTATGAGTCAATGTTATGGACTGAATTGTGTCCCCCAAAAATCATGTGTGTCAACTTGGCTAGGCCATGATTCCCAGTACTGTGTCACTGTCCACTATTTTGTCATCTGATGCGATTTTGCTATGTATTGTATATCCTGCCTCTATGATGTTGATGAGGCAGGATTAGAGGCAGTTATATTAATGAGACAAGACTCAATCTACAAGATTAGGTTGCATCGTAAATCAACCTCTTTTGAGATATAAAAGAGACAATCAAGCAGAGTGACATAGGGACCTCATACCATGAAGAAACAAGAGTCAGGAGAATAGCACGTTCTCTGGACCCGGGGTCCTTGCGCTGAGAAGCTCTTCAACCAATGAAGACTGATGACAAAGACTGTCTTAGTCATCTAGTGCTGCTCTAACAGAAATACCACAAGTGGATGGTTTTAACAAAGATAAATTTATTTCTTCACAGTCCAGTAGGCTAAAAGTCCAAATTCAGGGCATCAGCTTCAGGGGAAGGTTTTCTCTCACTGTCAGCCTTCTCATCAATGTTCCACTGGACTAGGAGCCTCTCTGTGCGGGGACCACGGTCCAAAGGACACACTCTGCTTTCTTCATGGTATGAGGCCTTCCTGTCTTTCTGCTCACTTCTGTCTTTTATATCTCAAGACATTTCCTCAGGATACAATCTAATCTTGTAGACTGAGTCCTGCCTTACTAGCACAACTGCCACCCATCCTCCCTTATTAACATCATAGAGGCAGGATTTACAACATATAGGAAAACCACACAATACCAGCAATCATGGCCCTGCCAAATTGATACACACATTTTTTGGGGGACGTAATTCAATCCATGACAAGGACCTTCCCCCAGAGCCGACAGAGACAGAAAGTCTTTCTCTGGAGCTGATGCCCCGAATTCGGACTTCTAGCCTCCTAGACTGTGACAGAATAAATTTCTCTTTGTTGAAACCATCCATCTGTGGTATTTGTTACAGCAGCACTAGATGACTAAAACAGCTGGAATCGACTCAATGGCAATGGGTTTGGTTTCGGTTTTTAGACATACAGTGAACTACAGAGACACAACTCTTACCTTCATAGAGTTCATCATCTAGTAAGAGAGAGTGCCAATAAATAAACTGATAAATCAATGTATAATTACAAATTATGATATATGCCTCAAAGAAAACAGAAGTACAGTAATGGAAAATAAATGTAGAGAGGATTTTAAATAAATTGTAAGGGAATACTTCTCAGAGGTGGCTATAATAAACCCAAGATCTAAATGAACTGATGCCAATTATAGCAAAAGCTAGAGGACCAAAGTTTCAGGGAAGAAGACTACCATAACCAAAGGGTCCTAAGATGGAAAAGAGCTTGTATGCTGGAGGAACTGAAAGGTCAGAGGGACTAGAGAGTAGTCAGTTAAATAAGAGTATCACCAGATGAAGCTGAACTCCATTCACACATTAATCCAGAGCTACCTAGGTTCCACTCCCAACATTCAACTGAAACTATACATATTTCCTATACGACAGCCTCTGAATTGGCAAATCCAATGTTCCTTTTTCGACCTCAACCAAGTTGACATTGATCCCTTTGCAGAATTGGACAATGATGCCTACACCCTATCTTCCTGAAAATAACTCTGCCCTTGGCATGCCATCATTTTCTAGTAGTTAAAAGTGTGGGCCCTGTAGTCACATCATATTTGTTGGAATCCTGGAAAAATTCCAGTCAAAGACCTGGAATGGGAGACTCGGAAGAGGCTAGCGAGCCCCTTCAGGAGCCTGATGTGTGAGATTGGATTATTGGCAGGACCGTGGAGAGCAACACATATTCTGCTGAAAATCCGACAGGCAAGACAACTGGTTGCTATGCAATGCATACACTGCCCTTGTTTTCTAAGGGGAAGATGAAGTTTCCAGCAGGGCTTCCACCTGTACTTTTTCCCATTCAGGTTATCACTCTAGTTCACCCAAATTTTGAAAATTCAAGTCTGTTCTGGTTTTGCTTCCCAGGCCATGGCTGAACTGGGAAGAACCAGTTCGAAGCCCAGTGTTTAACACAGGGTCTGGAACATAGCAAACACTCAATGTTACCAATCATCATTATTCCCTTCTTTTCTGATGCTCAATAAACGTTAGCAATCATCATTATTCCCTTCCTTTCTGACTGCTTCATCGTTAGTCCCTTTTGATGGGTGGTTCCTCTTCCACCCACATATGAAAGAACATTCTGGTTTCCATACTTCTCACACCATGTTCTCTTGGTGTGATTCATCCATTCTTACAACTTTACATGTTGAAGACTCTCAAATTCATTTCATTTAATGCCAGACCTCACTCGTGTATTTCAGGAACCTTCAGGAACTTTTGTGCCTTTACATGCACTTTTCCTTCTGTCTGGAAAGGCTCCTAGCATTTTCCAACGGCAATTTAGACACTGCTAGGTCTCACCACAAACAATCTTCCCAGGCCGAGTTGCCAGAGAACCTCATTCAACTCCTCTTCCACCACAATAGTCTTCTGTCACTTTAATTGTCATTGTCTTTTCATTTAACGGTACCTGGTAAAATTAGCAGCTAACACTCACAAGTGCTCACCACAGGAAAGGATCGTCTCATTTATTCTCACAAGGAGATAGCACCGCGAGGTCACAGAGCTGACTGAGTCAGAATTCCAACTCGTGCAGCAATGTGCGCCAGCACCGACCTCGGGTTCTTTAACCACGAAGCTGTAATTTAGGCATCAGTAAATGCCCGCTGATTCGAAGCAGTAATAAGGAGGAAAAAGAAGATGATTAGTCAACTAGTTAAATCTGGGCAGTAAGGTGACAGATGGAGGGGACGCGCAAGAGGGTTATGGCTAAATCCGCTAGGGGGATGGGAGAGGAGTGCGGAGAAGAATGGGGTGAAGCAGGGGGCATAAAGTACTGTTCTGAAGGAGTGCGTGGGGCTGGGTATCTGGGGGCAAGGGCAGATGGATTGGGTAAGACTGAATTCCCCATCGCACAAGGCAAAAACTTGCTTCCGCGCTCCTACCGCAGCACTCTGACGGTAACCACACTGGTGACCAAAGTCGTATCGTCTGAGGCTGCAGTGGCTGCGGCCCAAATCCGCGATCCTCTCGCCTCCTCCTGCGGCCACAGCTTCTCAAACTCGTTATCCACGCACCTATACCCGCTTCCGGTTCAAACCCGGCGTGACCGCGCAGCATCCGTCTCGCGAGGAACAAGTCACGCCAAGCCGGTGTCGGCGCACAGTCTGCCCATGCGCGCCATATATCACACGCTTTCCTTCACTCAAAACATCCGCACGCCCAAAACATTCGGCTGCACTGAGGAAACGCGCCTGCGCCTTCCTGTCCACCAATGGAGACAGACCTTGTAATTGATGCTCGCTCTCTGACTCCGGCTCTTGCGCTAGTCTGCCCCACCCCTCCAAATATGAGGACGGAAATGACGACAGTTCAAGGAGAACGGAGGCGGGTTTCATTTCGGCGCCTTTCTTTCTCCCGCGGAAGCGATTGGCTGGCGTGGAGCAAAAGAGGCGGGACAAGTTGCCGCGGGTTGAGTGCCGCCAGTGGAACCGGGAGATGCGGCGCAGTATCTGTCGTTGTATTTGCCTTTACCTTAGTCTAGTCTCTTATTGTGATTCCTTCTGCGGCCTCGATCATGTTGTTACCTTCGGACGTAGCCCGGCTGGTTTTGGGTAAGCGCGGACGCGAGAGGGAGGGTACTGGACCAAGCTAAGTAGGACGGAAGGACCTTTAGGGCCAAAGGTTTTCCTTGGGCGGGGAAGGTTTGGGGCTTTGCCTCCCCGCCCACAAGTTCAGACGCGGTGATTCTCCTTCAGCCGAAGGCTTTGGTACTTTAAGCCTCTTTGTGCGGATGCTCCTCTCCTCAGAGGCTGCGTGCGATAGGAGAGCTTAAGAGAAGCACCGAGTGGAACACTTGGGGCCCGGGTTCGGAGGGAAAGTCAGGCCTGCACACTTAACTACGACCCCTGAAAGAAGAGTTGGCTACGTGACGGGCGACTGACTGTGCGTCTTCAGTCTTGATCACGCTTTCCCTTATGAGCTGAGGCCAAACCAGGAAAAATAAGGACTTCCCCTGGCACCTAGCTTTGTAGAAAGACCATTCTAACGCCGTTCACATGTCTGGCCCTTAAACTACGAATTTGGCACCAGTGGGGGTGATCGTCTCTCTCACCCCTCCCCCCCGAAGTAAGTCGTCCAGTGTAGAGGTTTGAAATGCCAGTTGCATATTTTAAAACAACAGCGATTCTTACTCCTTTGATTAGCAAAATATTTCAGAGAGGAAATGCCTTCCAGCTGAACATTTTCTAGTTAGTTTTTTCTGCATTTGAGGAGAGATCAGTTCTGTGGGTCAGTTGTCTGTCAGGGTGTATTGCCTCTCTTGGCAAACGGGTTTTGTTGTTGTTTGTGCCCTGAAAGAATAAAGAAGGTGGTACCCCTGGGAACGTGAGCCACGTAAAGCTCAAAACCTGGGCCGGTGATTTACAGACATCATATGTGATATCCCTAAATGTAAACAGTAAACATCTGTGCTGAAACCTCCTATAGTATCCACAGCCATTGTTTCATTGTTAGAAAAACCCATTTGTCTTGTTCCATACTCATCTCTGTCCAAAAAAAAAAAAAAAAAGGTGTTTTTACAGGGTTCTTTTTTAAATAATATTTTATTGTGTTTTTGTTGAAGGTTTACACAGCAGTTTAGGTCCCCATTCAACAATTTCTACACAAGTTGTTCAGTGACATTGGTTATATTTTTCACAGTGCATGGACATTCTCATCATTTCCATTCTGGTTGTTCCGTTTCAGGGTTCTTGATAAGCTCATTTTGTAGGAAGCGTTAGGAGGAAATGCATTCCACCATCCAATTTTGGAGAAACTAATTTAATGACTTAAACTAATATTTTATTACTATTTGATTAATCTTCTGCCCACTTTATCAGAATCAAATATCAACATGGTTAACCTACACCTCTTATCTGTGGTAAAAAGCTGGTTGTATTTATTAGGTTACATGTATGCCAACAAAAGTAGACTTTACGTATACGTTGATGTACTTTATTTTTCCTCCATGCATATTTTTGCATTGAATTTTGAGTTTGGGTAGTTTGGTAATCCAGTTGCGTTTCAATGACTATAGCCTTAATTATTAAACAGGGTTTCTCAAACTTGATACTGTTGACATTTTGGGTCAGAAAATTCTTTGTTTTGGGGAGCCGTCCTGTGCATTATGGGATGTCTAGCAGTATCCCTGGCCTCCATCCACTGGATGTCGGTAACGGCCCTACTCCCAGTTCTGACATGGAAAATATATTTCCAGATATTGCCAATATGTCCAGGGAGATGGGCAAAATCACCCCCCAGTCAAGAACTACTGTAATGGTCTTAACAATCTAATTATCCAATTAGAATAATTCACACCAGCTTGTGAGTATTCATTCTCCACAAACCAGCTGCTCTACTTATTTCCTACTTTTTTAATGGATGAAAACTCCAGACGCATTCTTGTCTTATCCTAAAAATCTCTGTCATCCACATTCTTTTTACTGTCACCTCCCCTAGCAATATGCCTCCCATTACTTCTCACTTGTACTTTTTTGTTTTAGCTTCCCATATAGTCTTTCTTCTTGCAGTTCATCTTATTTGCTGTTACAACAATCTTCCTAAAACATTCACAGTATGCCTCCTATTTTAAAAGTTGAAACCATTATGCACTTAGTAAAAGAATTTCAAACTGCAAAAGGGTGTATGATACACACCGAAACAGCAAGTCTTCCCACACTGATCTGCTCTTGCTTTTTTCATTTAGCATTGTATTTTGGAGCTCTTTCCATATCAGCACAAAAATCTTATCATCCCAAAATTTTGTGGCTTAAAGTAACAGTTTCAGTATTTGCTCACAGTTCTTGCTTCTGTCACTACCCCTTCTCCCTCTTCAGTCTTTCTCATTATTGACCCCTTTTCTTCAGAATGTTTTTTCAGCGCCTAGTGCATTCCAAATGCTGTGACAATTCTAAGACTAAAGAGAGAAGCTCTCTACTCTTCGAGTTAACATAATGAAGTTTTCCACCCTTAAAAACACAGCAAAACGCTTTCCTGGACCCTGCCTCACTTGTTTTTATCTAACTCCCTATGTCACCTTTTCATAGGTCAAGCATATTCAAAGAACAATGAGCTTTACTTGCTTGCTCTACTTCTTTACCTTTCATTCTTCAGCATACCAATTTGACTTGTGACATCACTACTCCACCTAAACAGCCCCTGTTAGTCAACCACAGCCAGCTGTTGCCTTGCTGGAATTTCTTTAAATATCGTACAGACCAGAATATGTCAAATTGTTGTTTATTGCCTTTGGGCCACAAGTTTGGTTTTTATCAGTATGTCATACAGGGTAGTCTGGAGCTGATCCTCATCTGTTTCCTGTTCATCACAACTTCTCACCATCTACCATATGCTCCAGGCTACCAAACTACTTGCAGTTTCTCCAAATAGGTTTATTCTGTTCCCTCTGCCTGCAGTACTTCTTGTCATCCTAGTACACTAATACTCAATGTTCAGGTCAAGGTTAATCCCTGAAACCTTTCCCAATAGGTACAGTTAGTACTTTTCTCCTTAAATGCTCCCATAGCATCGTCCATTACTTCTATCATACACTTATCATGTTTTATTGTAGCTATGTGTTTATCTACTTATGTGTTTTGTTCGGGAACTTAATCTGGAACTTAAACCCAAAATTAAAAGTTTATGTGCAGATGGAGACATTTTTACAGGTGAAGGGTCTAGAGCTTTCTTCAGATCCCTAAATGGGTTTGTTACTTTCTGCATGAGTCAGCTTCCATCCCGGAAAACAGAAGCCAATCTGAATATTTAACACGGGGAATTTAATGAGGGAATTGGTTACATTTGTGATAGAAAAGCTGCGCCTCCAAACAACTTACCATAAGACAGCTCAGGTTAACAACGGTAGGAAGCCACTACCCTAAGCAGGAGGAAAAAGAGAGATGAGGCTGGGTTGACTGTATGGAAGATAGAAAGTGTTTTGTAGTCATCGAGGCAGAGAGGGAGTAGGAGAAAAAAGCCTTCTACCCTCAACTCTCCCACCAGCACTTCCGATTGGTCAAACTCAGCTGCCATGGGAGCATGGGAAACAGTGCCTGCATGAGGTCAGCCCTCCTGTCAGCAGGTGCAGAGGCGGGGAAGGGTAGAGAATGGATTTGAGGGCAAAGAGATACAGGACAGGCATACCTCCAAAAGGTCAGGAACCACTGGTCTTATTTACTTTTATATAATTAAGACATTATAGATATTTAGTAAATACTTAGAAAAGTACCACTGTGATCATGACGTTCCCCTTTGTCTACTGAATAATATCTATACTCATTATTCTGACGTTTACAGCTTTTCAGCATCTGGACCCATTCTGTCTTTTCAGTTGTATCTCCAGCTGTTCCCTTAATGTATTTTGTGTTATATCCAAACTGGACATGTTCCCCAAACATGCTGTGCATATGTTTTCCACCACTTCCCTTTGGGATTCCCAGTCATTCTTCAAGACTCACCCCTTGATATGTAAACTGATTTACCCCAAGTCTGATAGTAATTTCTCTGGCCCCTATACTTCCATGAAGCAAGTTACTACTGTTTCTTTTAATACTTTGCTTTGTTGTTTGTGTATGTATCTTCTGGCACCTAGTAGATCATAACTTTTTTACAGACAGAGGCCTTGTCTTTTTTATTTGCGTATCTAGTAATATAAGGTGGTATAAATTAAGTCTTCCTAAGAATTCTTTTTTTTTTTAGGTCATTAAAAACTAAAAAACCAAACCTGTTGCCATCAAGTTGATTCCGACTCACAGCGACCCTATAGGACAGAGTAGAACTGCCCCATAGGGTTTCCAAGGAGCAGCTGGTGGATTTGAACTGCTGACCTTTTGGTTAGCAGCCGAGCTCTTTTAACTACGGTGCCACCAGGACTCCAGTCATTAAACCATTAGTATTTCTGGGAGTTAGTAGAATATGTGAAAGTGAAAACTGAAACCCTCATCCATTGCTGATGGGAATATAAAATGCTATAGCCGCCGTGGAAAACATTTTGGCAGTTCCTCCAAAAGTTGAGCATAAAATTACGACATAACCCAGCAATCCTAATCTTAGGTATATACCCAGAAGAAGTGAAAGCAGGAACACAAACAGAAACGTATATACCAATTTCCATTGCAGGACTTTTCACAATAGCAAAAATATGGAAACAACTCAAGTATCTATCAACAGGTGAATGGATAAATAATGTGTTATATACATACAATGCAATATTACTCAGCCATAGAGAAATGAAGTCCTGATACACACCACAACATGGCTGAACCTTGAAAACATTACCTTGAGTGAAATAAGTCATTATAAAAGGAAAAATACTATTATGATCTCACATACATGAAATAAGCAAATATATAGAAATCACAGATTATTAGTGGTTACCAGGGGGAGAGGGAAAGGGGAAGTCTTCCTTAGCATTGAATTTATCTTGAGGGTCGTGGAATAATTTGGAAAGAATAGCAATAATGGATGCACAACATGAAGAATGTAATCAGTGTCACTGAATTATACATGTAGACATTGTTGAATTGGTGAATGTTTTGTTATATATATTTTAACCACAATAAAGAAAACAACAAAA